ACATGAAGCCCCAGAGATGTATTAGGTAATAACTGCTATTCCAAGAAAAAAGTTGTGAAAAGCAGCTAAAGGAGAGGAGGATTTACATTTTTAATCTGATATATTAGATCATCTTTCCAAAATGAAATGTCTCTTAACAATTAATTCATGCCTACTCCTGTCAATAAATCTTTCGATGGTAGTTTAACAGATCTTTTAGAAATGAATCTTTTGCAAAGCTGGAGTCATGTTTCCTGTCCCAGCTCCCTGAAAGAGAGTGTACAGCGATTAAATCACAGTATTTGTAATCAGACAGACATGAGCTCAAATTGCAGCTGTCTCCTAGTTAAACCTTCAGTGCTTCCAGAAGCTGTCATGTGAATTGTGAATGATGATATCTACTACTTGCAGTTGATATAAACATTAACTGATATAATATATGTAAAGGACACAGCTGAGTCTGGTATACAGTAAATGCTTGATTCAGAAATGTTTATTGTTGTATGTAGGATTACCTTACCTTTGGTATACTACTGGCATTTTTCTCAACACTATTAGTCCCTTTAATGCCTAAAACTTCTCTGTGTTGAAGAACTGTTCTATAAGAACTGTTATCTTCTCTATGTTGCACTCCTGAAAAACAGAAAGATTGTTTCTTGGAAGGCCTGTAAATTTGTAATCTACAAGTTTTCATTCAACCATGACCTGCAACAGAGGGCTCCATACTAACACAGTATTCCTTAACCTTGTTACCCTTCGTGGATCAAGAGCTCCTTGGGGACAGGGATCTCATTTATCATGGTCCTTGCATCTGGCCAGGTATTTAACTTAGAGCTTCCACATAATTAGTATTTAATAAGTGTTTATTAACTGGCAGATCAACAATATAAGGAAGAAATAAAAATTATCAACTGATGCTCTTATATTTTACCCTATTTTAAAATGATTCTTATTACATTCTTTTTTAAAATAATACTTAATACAGTGCTTGTGTCAAAAAGGTTTCTCAGTAGACAGTTGATAAATGGCTGAATGTCACCAATCTGCATTTACAGAGCATAAATGCCACCATTCTGAATAACTTCTATACTTTTCTTGTGTTCACGTTCTAGCAGGCCTTAAATATGCCTGTTTTTTCTTTCTTCCCATAATACCTCATACTGTCTATATCTGTGTTACTAGTATTGTGGATCTTCATTTATAATTCCAGATTTACAAATGTACCTTCTTTCTAAAATGGGTTTATAACCCTAAAACCAATACTTGCCGACTTGCCGTGCTTTCCCAGGCAATCTCAACCATGCACAGAGCAGCAGAACATTTGAATTGCCTGATGCACACTTTCCCACCTGACATCAAGCAAAGTGACATTCTGCCTTATTCCAGCTCCCATACTGTGTGTTCATGTCCTTTCACAGGCAGTTTGGTGTTGTGCTGTTCACACGTTTGTGCTAGTTGTTGATGGCTTTGCTGTCTAACATGCCCTCCAAGCATAGTGCTGAAGTGCTGGTTGGTGTTTCCAGTGCAAGAAGGCCATGATGTGCGTCACAGGGAAAGTACATGTATCAGAGGAGCTTCATTCAGGCATGAGTTACAGTGCTTTTGGCCAGGATTCAGTGGTAATGAATCAACAATTATAAAGGCTAAATATGAAATACAGTGTCTTCAAAATGAAATACACATAAAACAAAGTTATAAATTGATCGGTTGATGAAAATGTGGTCACTAGAGGTTCACAGGACCTAACCTTGTATTTCTCCTGGGAATAATGGTTCAGCATTTGCTAATTCAATGTTTACAATAACTTACACAACATAACTACAGCAAATTACAAGAATCAGTTATGCTACCTTAGTAATGAACTTCTTCTCGGGGTTCCCTAGGTAATGTAGAGATGATGGCTTATCATATCAGGTTGCAGGATCTTATGATGCTTCCTGTACCTCCCAGCACCCTTTGGCCTCGTGAGACTGAATGACTGAACATCTTAAGGCCAGCTCGCAGGAGTACACTTTGCTCAAGTTTTTACATATTATATCCCAATATTGCCCCACTCCTACTGCCCTTGCCTTAACTATCCATACTTTGTAATCAGTGGAACATCATTTGCAGAGATGGAATGAATATGTAATTTTTTACTGTGAATGTCTTTGTCCCCAAAGATCTCATTAGATGTTTAGTCTGGCTCTCATTTTGCATCAGCCAAAGGACTGTTCCTGACCTATTAACTCCAGTTTTATCCACTTGTCATGAAACAAGACCCTAGCCAATACAGAAGAGTAACTTAGGATAGAAGGAAATAAGGAATGTCTAAAAAAAAAAAAATAGAAATGCTATCCCAGGGAGGAGAGAGAGGGACAAGAAGAGAGAGGTGCAGGTTAACACGGAGTGAATTTAGGCTAGTGCGCCTTAATACAGATGTTCACTGAAGCCCAATCCAATTCTCACTGAAAAATCTCCTTTAAAATCTCTGCCACACCATACAAACACAGAGAAGCCTCTGCCTCTAATCCTATTTAAAATCCCTCCTATCCCTTATTCTTTGTGTTCTGTCATCAGCATAGAATGCTATTTTAATTATGGAAACTTACAAAATATGAAGCACTTTGAGATCTGTTTGTACTAAGCACATACACACACCACAGAGACAGTAGATTTAGAGGAAAAAGCTCTAAGCTAGGAGTAAAGGGCTAAGTTCTAATTATCTGTAGATGGCAAACTGCTGTCTTTGTAGGACACCCACAGACGAGGCTGAAACCCTACAACTTGGTATTTCAACCTGCTTTGGGTGAGCAGACAAGTCAAGGTTAACTTCTTTATTGTGGTTTTCCACCTCAACATACCCCCTAAGAAAAACAAATACTGTATCAGGCTAAAAACTACAAAGTACAAAGTGTATTTATCTATTCCCCTCTCCAAATTACATCATTTTGGAGGACATCTAAGCCCTTTGGATTCATACATTGAGAAGAGCCAGCAATCTCTACAAGAAATATCATAGAAAGAGAACAACTTTGAATTGTTGTATCCAGTTTTGTCTCAGTGGTGGTTTTGACCTGCTTTAACTAAGGCTCATTTTCTCAAGGTGAATGTGAGCCTAAGAATTCAGGAACAGTGTATAAGGCAATTAGCTGATAGGATGAATAGTCTTCTTTTACCCATTATATCGTTGACCTATTTGTCTGCCTTGAAGACCAAGTGCTCACTTGACATTTTGCTTTGGCAACAGAACTTTCAGAGATGGGAAAAAAAAGTTTACAAATGTGGTCACTTTTTTAGTAGTAAATTCAAGGTTTAAAATTTGAAGTCAATATGGAATTGTATCAAATACAATGTGAATTCCAAAATAGACACCAGGGGAATTATGTTCACCTCTACACCTCTATAGTAAAGGCAATCTTAGATTTTTTTTTTTTTTGCTATCACCAATCTACAATTACGTGAAGAACACCATGCTTACCAGGCTGCCCCCCCTCACCAGCAATCTTAGATTTAATGGTTATTACAAAAAGAATGGGAAAAAAAACCTTCACTGTAAAACACTACTCTAACAAATGGTGGAAGGATTGTGATTTCAATGCCAAAAGAGAACATTAGTATTGCTTTACCAAATATGTGGCCAATCATATTTCATTGAAACTATTATTGCCACAAGAAGAAATAATAAGTTGACTTCTAGGCACTTTTAATTGACTATTATAATATTTGGGCAATGTGCACCCACACTAAGAATAAAAGAAGCTTTTATAATTGCATGCCCAAAAATGAAAGTATCAATATAAATTCTGTAAATCCTGCAAATAATAATAGAAGTTAATATAGCTAGGTAGAGAAAAATGTTCTTCACTAGATGCACACAGCCAAGAGAAAAATAATTTTCAAACATACACATACCATCTCTTGTCCTAGCCCTCTTTTGCAATTTTCCTCATCTCCTCTATATTCCACTATTTTATCATCTCTAATCAGTAAGAAGCAAAATGTATAGATATCTTCGCATTATTCAGTATGATTCTATGTTTGGAATTCAACATCACTCTCTCCTGAGTGCTGTGACCCTTGGAAGATGTCCTTTAAAAAGAAACAGGGTTCTTCGTAATATGGTACTAAAATCTCTTGGGTATCTATCTCATAGTTGCAATTAACTACTTAATATATGATTTTCAGCTATTACTGTGAAGTGGTTGGGGGTGTTATCCCACTTAGTCTCCACCAACAAGCTGTGTGAGGTTTTCTGCATCAGAATCATTACACAACAAATAACAACTGTGTATTGCAAATAACAATTGAGTGTTACATGCAAACACAACACTGTATTAGGTAATGTGGAGGATGCAAAGATAACACACACCTGGACATGACAACATTCTAGAGGGAAAAGGAGACATATACTTAAAATATTTATATAGTTTACACCACAGGATGAAATGTGTCCTAAGTGTCAAAGAGTAAATTGACAAAGAGACAGATGAATTTTAATTAAAGGGATCAACATAAGCTCTATGCAGAGGTTCTTTTAGAGGGAAGGAAAGTGTCTGAGTTAGGGTAGGATATCCTAGAAAAGAAGAAACAAAAACACTTGAGGATATATAGAGAAAATGTGTCTAATATGACTGAAATACAGACTAAATAAATAAAATAGTATATGATTAAGAGTGGAAAAGCATGTAGAAAACAAAATACCAGAATTCTTGAACATTGATAAAGCGATTTGAATGTTATTTTATAGGCAGTGAAGAATCAATGAATATTTTGAACAAGAAAGCAATATAATCACAATTATACTAAGTATAGAGGGGATCGAGTAAGAGATGCGATTGATGGTCAGAAAAGGACTTAGGAGGCTATTGCAGGAAGACTCAGAGAAGTTACTAAACTCAAGAACTGGAATATTTCACATTTTGATTTCTCTCTAAAATCAGTTCCTGCATTTCCTGAATTTTATCAAGAACTATGTATACATTAAAATAGATCCTTTATTTCCAACTAGGCTCAACAACTCTCCTTTTCTTTAATTTCAGATTTTTCATTATTCATATACTGCTTCATATGTGATTTACAACATACATACTAGGTAAGTTATTTGATTTTCTGGTTTTCATGAGTAATTGTCCAATTGAATTGTTGGTGCAGATGTTAATTTGTTCCTGTAAAAATATTTCCCTTTTTTCAAGGGAAGTTTGGGAGTTAAATCCTCCTGAAGTAGAGGACTCCATCTTGCAGTATGCAGCCTGGGGTGTCCAGGGGCAGCAGCTGGTAAGCACTGGAGTTGATATGCACCAAGTACTGTCAGCCATGCCCTATGGAAGGTGCTTACAGAGATCACTGCCTTGGAAACATTGTTCTATTACACTGGATGTTTTTGGTTTACCTGAAGTCTTTTATCTGGCATTCTAATTTAAGAATATGTATCAAATAATACTGGTATTATTTTATCAACTAATTAAAATGTAAAAGTATATAGAGAAATGTATGATTTAACTACTAGTTAATAATGAAACCTAGAAGAGACCCAAAAAAACTAGGGCCTAGTTCTGTTAAATTTCCATTACATAATGTTGTCACTTTTATTTTTTCCTTAAGTATGATCCAGGGTAAAAAATTTAAGACAGAAGTCTATGCTTCACAATATTCTCTTAAGAGAAGACTTTTTTGGTTATATTGTATTTTGAAATTATCACAAACTCAAGAGAATTATTGCTGGATAAGAACAGTTTGAGCAACACTATATTATTGTATATATTCTCATGATACCCATGGAAAGACTTCAAGGGAATACTGCTCAGGAAGTGGTACTGCTTGCTTATATGACATGTGAATGTGAATGGACAAATGTACCTCTCATTGCCAATTTTAGTTCTAAATTGTTTTGAGCATTTATATTCCTCCCAGCAATAATGTTTTTCCATTTTATGAGTCCTCTTTGTTCTATATTCTCACCAACACCTAGGTTTCCCAAACTACCATAGTGTTTGTTAAGAATGACATTATTGTTTCTTCTATTCCAATTTTTAATACTTTTGATTTTCTTAAGATCTTCTTATACTAGCTAACCTATAAATATGTACGGTGTGGTAATTTTTTGTGTATTGGGGGACATTTTTAAAAACTTTATCATGAGTTACAGGATTAAGTTTTACTATTTAAAAAAATTATCTGTAGTAATTTATGCATTTCTAAAAAGCCATCTCACCTAAATCAATTTTTAAAGCATAACTTTTTGTAGCATATTTAGTATTCTTTAAATCTTTCAATTGTTTGTTATTTTTTTCTTCTTTCTTAGGATTATATATAAGAACTTCTTTTTTTTTCATGATCACATTTGTTTGATATTCATAAATTTCACGATTGGGCCAAGTTTTAAACTTACTCGATCATGTTTATTATTTTCTATTTCTTTTCTGTTTTGATAGTGTTTTCTTTTTCTCTTTTAATATAAGCAATGAAGACTATAGAATTTTCTCTAAATTTTGCTATTCTTTATCCAACAAGTTTGGTAGTATTATTTCTAATAGTATTTAATTTGAACATTATTTTCAATTTCATTATACTTTCTTATTTTAGATGGGTTATTTTGATATCTGATTTTAAATTTATAAAAATGTTGAATTGAAAAAATTTTTTTAAATGTTGAATTGATTTTAAAACTGATTTGAAGAGTTCAGAAAATGAACTTTGTAGTAATGATTTTTAAATTAGCAAGATGTAATTTATGGCTAAATATAAACTTTTATAAATGTTTTCCATGTGGTATATACAGTGGTTTATGTGTACCTTTTGGCTCTATCTTACTAATTATGTTTTAAATGCTTTTATTTCCTTACTGGTGATAATGGATATCTGATATTCTTTAGAGTTCTATCATATATATAATTTAGACTGTGATTTCAAGAATAAGGAGTTTTAAATGTTAAATAAACCTTTCAGTAAATAGAAATTCCTGTTAGTCTTATCAATATATTTAACCTATTTGCGTTTAGCAATTCTAATTGACCAACCCTAACTCTAACCTTTAACAAAGTCCTTTAATAAATTAGTATCCTCTAGATTTTTGTTTAACTAGCATTACTTTTTTCAAACAGCTGAGCAGGCTGAAATATGCTTCTTATTTTCCATCAGCCTCAATTCCATCATATATAAAATAGAAATATTTATGCCATCATTTCATTATAATTAACTTGGGAAATATAAATACTTCCCTTAATAAGGCACATTTTTTTTTCCATTTTGTAAATCTAAGAAATGCTTTGTTAAGCTGATTGGTGGAATGGGAAGTAATGCTAGCTATTTCACATCAGAAGAAGGCTGTAGAATAGCTACTATTACTAACCAATGCTACTTTTCATTAGAAAAATTTTAAACCTGAGATGTTCTGGAAGTGAATATACCAAGAGACAGCCTGTACCAGGTTGGTCATGTGACCTTGGACAAGTTATTTTTCCACTTGGCCCATCATTTTCATAAGGGAATTTGGCTATCCTTGGCCTCATTCACATTGCATCTCTATAATATAACTCTATATATTGTATTCTGATTTATTTAACTGAGACTAAATTTCTTACTGTCAGAATGACTGAGGTAAGGAGGAGAGAACATGACAGGCTGAAAAGAGTTCAGGAATAATTACCATGACAGATTTTCTTGCTTTGTTTTAATCATAGCTGGCAACTCTGAAATATTTCCATAGTCTGCTGTGTAGGAGATTTGTGTTTTGGAGTAGGAAAACATTTTTCACACGCAAAACCACTTTCTTTGTGTCTTCATGGATGTGTTCCTTAATCATTTAAACTAAGTGTTGAATATACTGTTAAGGTAAGTTTTATCCCTGGCCTTTAATTTCTCACAAGTTTATCCTTGTTTTCGCAAAGAAAAAAGACATTGAGGAAAGATTTACCAAAAATACTGAGAAGAGCATACACAAAGTTGCCAGACATTAGACCCAAAACTGTCTAAACATTTTGTGTTGTGTTTCACAAAGAAATCCTAGGTAACACTGTATATTCACTGTCATATTCATACAAAATGGTTAAATAATTGATTAAATGATTATGAAGAAAACAAGCTAGTTACTTGAAATGAAAAAATCACACAAAAGTTCAGATACCATAGATTATACACAGAATGTTTGCCTTTATCACTTGTATATTTAGGGAATCTGTTTAAAGATGTGTTAGTATATTGATATAGAACTATCTGCAGGCCCATTCCCTCCTGATATCCCTGAAGCATACGCTTAATCTGCACATGCAGGTTTGATGTAAAGAGGCCTGAATCTCTGTGCTCATGAACAGTGGTGAATGTGCCTTGAGAAGTGGGCAGATGCTCTCTAAGCGCTGCTTCACAGTGATGCTCTCAACAGGAGAGCTGGCGCATCAGGCCAGAGGCAAATTCCAAACACACACAATTCCAGAAACCAGAAACATGAGATAAGTTCATGTTTGTGTCACTGAAGAATCCCTATAAAATCTTTAACTGATTGGTTCTAAAGAATTCTCTTATTCTGCAAGCTGAAGAGCAGCCTACATTATGCCAAAATAATAGTTTGATACCCTCAAGGAAGTATCATGAGTTGCATGCATTTTATTTAGTAGTTCCTACTTGTTGCTGATACCTTATTCTTCAGTATATTTGAGAGGATCATAAAAAAATATCAGAAGTTTGTAAAAATTACAGATTCCCTGGGATGGGGAAAAAAATGGCAAAGTAGGAAGGCAAGTCAGAAATCCACTCCCGCACATACACCAAGAAAGCAACTGCAGCAAATACAACTAACCCTGAAAACAACCTGAAGACTGCAGAACAGATCATCTGCACCAGGTGAAGAGAAGACCACACAGAGAAAGGGTAAGGTGTTACAGCTGTGATCCAAGCCCAAAGTGGAAGGGAGAGGAAAAGAGCATGGAGGGGATAAGCACTCAGGAACTCAGCACACCCACCCCTGATCTGCTCTGGAAACACAAGACCACATCACATTGGACATTGAGGATTAACAGAGCTGGACACCAGGGACACTTAGAGCACTCTGGGAGGCTGAGATGGCTGCTACTTGTGAGGACAGGCATGCTCCATTGATCCCTCTGAGACACAACACAGAGGTGGCAATTTGAAAGATTCACCAGGAGCAGAAAGAGTGCCAGAGGGGGAAAGGTTTCAAGGAGCTTTCTATACAGGAGCAAGGGCAGGTGTATGATGCCTCCCCAGCCCTCCCTCAGCCAATCTGGTATGGTACTCACAGCCCCAAACTCTCCATCCCCATCACTGGTGGCTCAGCCCTGTGGTGCTTCCCTCACCCACCCAACTCACTAAACTCAACAACGGACTTCATTACTTGTCAGGTAGAGGGAGACTTTGCTGCCTCACAGGCATAGAGAGGCATTCCCAGCTTTCTTGGCTCTTTTGCAAACCAACTAGGGAGCTTCCTGCAGTGCCAGCCCAAAGCCCTCCTTCCTCATCACTGGCACCCCAGCCCCAATCCATGAACAATTGCACACCTGCCCAACTCATCAGCCCAGCAGTGCCTCCATCACTACAGGGCAGACAGAGGGCTGCCGTATCCCAGCAGAAGCACCTCTACATAGCTCAAAAAGGGCCTCTGCTCACAGAGATCAGGCAGCAGACAGGCAGAAAGGCAGCCCCACCCATAACTCACCACAGCGACTGGGATCGCACCAGAGAGGAAAACCAGGTCCTGGTGAGTAAAGAGTCTGGAACTTCTAGGCACCACAGGGATGCCTTCATCATAAAGCCATTACCCTCTAAACCAAGAGGCATAGCAGATCAATCTAATACAAAGGGAGAAACACCAAAACCCTGACAAAATGAGGAAGCATGGGAATATGTTCCAAACAAAAGCACAGGATAAGACACCAGAAAGAGAGCTAAATGAACCAGAGATCACAAAACCTCTTGATAAAGATTTCAAAGTAAATATGCTCAAGGATCCATGGAAAACTTTTGATGACCTCAGGGAGAACTTCAATAAAGAGAAGAGTTTAAAAAGACCACTTAGAGCTGAAGAATACAGTATCTGAAATGAAAAATACAATGGAAGGAATGAATAATAGACTGATGCTAGTAGAGGACACAATGAGATGGAAATTAGGGAACAGGAAAACAACAAAGCTGAGGAACAGAGAGAAAGAAAAAAGAATCTCTAGAAATAAGTGGATGCTAAGAGAGCTGTGTGACAATTCCAAATGAAACAATATTCACATAATGGGGTACCAGAAAGAGAAGAGAGAGACAAAGGAGTAGAA